TAAATAATATTTTATAATTCGCAGATATGCAATCTGAATAGATTCATTGAGACGACGCATTATCAAGCTTAAACTCAGAAATGCGAAACCTATAAAGTAGATGATGAAAGAAAATAACAGACATAATGTTAGGCTTAAAGAGTTTAAAACTAGAATCTTAAAACTAGAGCAGGATCAATTAGGAAGAAAATCTAAGAAAAATCGCAAATTCTAAAATAGATGTATCTAGATAGCTAAGAAAATTTTTAATGAGAAACTTATTATTGAATATCATCCTCCTTTCTTGAACAGATTAGAACTTGATGCCTTCTTCCAAAAATGCTGAATTGCATTGGAGATGCAAGGAGCTCAGCATCAGTTTCATAACACTAGCTGGTATAAAGATATCAAAAAACTCGAGAACATCATTAATTGTGATTGGCGAAAATGATGTATTTGTCAAGATAATGGAATTTTCCTTCTTGAAGTATTGTGTGATGAAAAACTGAAAATCGTTATCCCTAAAAGGATACAAAATATTAAGGAGTTTGTTTATCTAGCATCCAAAAGTTTTGATATTCAGGCCAAATCCTATAAAATATTAACCTCTAAATATCTGGATTGGTATATCAAATTAACTGGTTTATCAAATATTTTGACAGATAAAATTCGTTTCAACTTATATAAAAGATATAAAAAAGAAACTGATCATGAACTATGGTAATTATCAAAAGCCCACCTTCTCATAAATTCAAAGCCAGAAAACAAAATATCCTATTTATTTTTTTCCAAACAATATGAAGAAAAAGGACCTATCACTTTCAAAGCCAAACCTGATCCAGAATTAATTATCAAATCCGTCTTAGAGCACTTCACATACTTGAAATTCTGAAATAGCTATAGGAGGATCGATAATTATAATTTTGCATTACTTCAGCCGTAGAGCTCACCATGCTCTATTTACAATGGAAAACATGTGAATTATGGATTACATGACTCATAGTATCGCAAAAATGGAAATCAGCTCCCTTATGATCCTGAATTAGCAAAGTTGTATTCCTTCTAATGTACATTGGAAGAATATTGTCTTACCTGCAACACTTCAAGCAATAAACTCAAGTTCGCAATCGTAGCCATGTGATAGCAGATCAATAGCAAAAGATATTATTCTGCAGTATGAACAAAATATGTATTTTTTTAATTATAATCAATAAAGCTAAGGCACATTAAGTGCAATATATTTACATGTCAATATCTAGTATGGGATTGTGTTTATATGTTAATATTTCTCAGTTTTTCATCTGAGGATCCAGATCCTATAAATGCGTAATATCATTAGAATAGTGGTAACAAGTCATTGCACTATATAATTTATTCTTGAAACTTCCTGCATATACTTAAGCTTAATAATAAAAAGTCCCCCTTGTTGATCTAGGGATACAATCCCTGTATCTATCTTAAAAAAAAATTAATAAAGCATTAGTATCAAATCAAAAATTTCTATATCATTTATGTCTTAGATTGGTCGAGATTTTGTTTATTTTAATAGATAGCAACAGAATTATGTAATATGCAGATGTAACCAGACTGATTGTGGTATACAAACATGTGAGTAGTTTCCAATCGACATTTCTCATATAAATCCCAAGCTTTTATCCAAAAAAATACTTACGTTTCAAAAATATCTTCCAGTTAGTGTACTTACTTTGACAAAACCTAACTTAAAAACTATCATTTTCTAGGTTTTTACGAATATCGCTCAAAGCAAGTAGACTTTACTTTCTCTTTTCGGACAGAATTCTACAAACTTCAAATGGATCTCTATTGTCTCATCAACAATGGCATAAAGGAAATGAAGAAAATTGCTAGCCAGTTGAACAATATTTTTAAGGCAAGTACACTTGAGCTTCTATCATCATTCTTTGCATAGGTGATTAGGGAGCTCTCATAGCTACGGTAATATCGGAATGCTGTCTACTTTATGATCAGAATGTCCGCTATGGAAAATTGGAACCCTATACAACTATGGTGATATCGGAATGCTGTCTACTTTACGGTCAGAATACCCGTTGTACCTGCTTTTGCAATGTACTAATTCTGCGTGAACTATGAAGGCCATATTTTTATTAATTGTAACAATTTTCTTGATGTCAATGCTTTTTGGAATAAAATTGAACTGAACAAACAATTACAGAATCAGTTACAGACTGCAGGGGTTGTAGTTTTCTTACTTGCTTAATAACGTTAGGCTCTATATTAATATATTTCCTTATACTTACTGCAGGTTGAAGCTACTAGTTCGTTGATAAGTATCTTCATAAAAACCTTTGTAACAGCAATTGAAAACGTTCATTCTGCTATTGAAAATATTAACGATACATTGGTATGAAATATTGTTGATAATTAAACATTTGTTTACTTTACTAATATATTATTCACAGACAATAACAGGAGCAGAAAATACAAATAAACGACCAGCAGAAGAGCCCTCTCCTATTATTACACCTCCTTCTAACCTTCGCAATCGCTCTCCCTCTCCATGTTAAAATAACGAAAAATCAACTGAAGCATCAACTGAGGCCTCTCCAGTAATGCTTTTTTTCATTTTGTGAAGTATATAAGCTCGTTTCTAATCTGCATTATTACTTTTAAGAAGACGAATGATCACAACGAGTCCGATGTAGAGATAACACGTAAAGAAGATGATAACCCTTTTAAAGCAAGAACAGTGGAGGATTCAACAAAATATAAAGTTAGTATTAGTCAACATTAATTTTTTCAATATAATAGTCACAATTTTGACATTAGTTAATTTGATTCATATTATTCAAGATTGTCTTATCATGGAGTCATGCAATCAATAATGTGATCATAAATAATGTCTCTGAAAATGACGTAAGTATTGAGAAACATTTATCTTTTCATGTCATATACTGATATAGTCTAAATTCCATTCTCTTTTTATAGTGGGTAACACGGAATGGACACAACATCTCTATTGACTTTCGTAATTTTCAGTTAAAGTCAATTGAAAAATTAGAAGCCAATCTGACTTTATCATACGCGAAAGAATTTGATTTGATATTATACGTATTTCTATGTAAAGTTATAGAATTTTGGATATAACATTTAATTTTATATATATTTGCAGATGTCTATCGTCGATTATGTATTACAATAAACTTAAACCAGAATATGTTGAATGTTCCAAAAAGACATGGAATGAAGCTCGTCCAAGATCATTAGTTTCAAAAATGTTGCCAACTGTTGCTCACTTAGTAATAATCGAATACAATATGGTAAGTATCTTCCTGGATGTTATTAATATCAGCAAAAATGTATTAATTTTTTTATTGGTGTTTTAGCTTTTGAATGAAAGACCATCACTTAATACAAGGTAGCGTGAAAATTGGATAAAAGGAAATACCTTACTAACAGATGAAGACAAGGAAATCTTTGACTTTGTGTAGATAGTTTTAAGAAATTTGTAAGTTCTAAATTTAATAAAAATATTTGTTAATGGTATTATTATTACTTATTTCTATTTGCCTTACAGTTTTACCTACTTATCTTCCGTGAGTTATAATGAGAGTAAAAAATTGGATAAAGACACTTTCATCCATCGATACTGTCACCAAATTCTCGAAGAAATATTCAACACAACTGAATTATCATTGGTTTGGTAAGTTTTATGTAATAATTACAGTATACTAACTATATTGATATATACTTACATTTTCATTATTAAAATAAAGGGTCAATGGTGAATCCAAAAGTTCTAAGGAGAGACGTTTATTGGATGGTCATAACCATGGTAGAAAACTGAACTTCTGGATCATCACAAAGATTGATGACACTAATAGGAAACTCATATTTGGCGAGATAAAACCACTACATTGCACTAAAACTATAAACAAAAGCATAATCAAATTAGCAGAATTCATGAAAGGATCTTTGGACTGTATTATTAATATTT